ATTCATGAGAAGCACTCTCAACAAAGTAGATATAGAAGGAACATACCTCAACACAATAAAGGCCATACATGAAAAACAACAAACATCATATTCAATATTAAAAAGTTGAGAGGTTTTCTTCTAAGATCAGGAAGGCAAGGGTTCTTTTATTTCAGTACAGTACTGGAAGTACTAACCACAGAAATCAGACAAGAAGAATACATAAATGGCTTCCAAATTGGTAAGGAAGAAGTAAAACTGTCACTATTTGCAAATGACATAATACTATATACTATATAGTATACTGTATATAAAAAATCTAAAGACCACCAAAAAACTACTAGAATTAATAAATTCAGTAAACATGTTAAGATATAAAATCAATATACAGAAATCTGTTGTGTTTCTACACAATAATGACAAAATATCAGAAAGAAAATTAGGAAAACAATCCCATTTACAGTTGCACTGGAAAAAAAATTGTTTAGGAATAAATTTAACCAAGTTGAAAGACCTGTATCTGAAAACAATAAATGACTGATTAAAAAAATGGAACAGAACATAAATGGTAAGATATACCCTCCTCATTGTTAGAAGAATTAACATTGTTAAAATGTCCACCCTACCCGAACCAATTTACAAATTCAATGCAATGCCTATCAAAATACCAACAGTATTTTTCACAGAATTAGAACAAATGATCTGAAAATTTGTATGGAACTAGGAAAGACCCCGAATAGATAAAGCAATCCTGAGAAAGGAGAACAAAGCTGGAAATATCACAATCCCAGATTTCAAATTATATTACAATGTTATACAAATCAAAATAGCACATTTGTCCAAAAAACACATATAGACGGTCAATACACATTAAAAGATGCTTACTATCACTAGTTATCAGGGAAATGGAAATCAGAACAACATGAGATATCATCTCACATGAGTCAGAATGGCTAAAATCAAAGTTAAGAAATAACTGTTGGTGAGGATGTAGAGAAAAGGAAACCCATGTGCACTGTTTGTGGAAATGGAAATTGGTGCAACCACTGTGGAAAACACTATGAAAGCTCCTCAAAAAATTAAAAATAGAAAATACATATGATCAAGTAATTCCATTACTGGGTATACATGCAAAGAATGGAAAAACACTAATTCAAGAAGATATATGCACCCCTATGTTTATTGCAAGATTATTTACAAAGCCCAGACATCGAAGCAACCTGTGTCCATTGATAGATAAGTAAAAAAGATGTGAAATATACATGCAATGGAATATTACTCAGCCATAAAAAAGAATGAAATCTTCCCATTCACAAAAACATGGATCGACCTAGAGGGTATTATGCTGCATAAGATAAATCAGATGGAGAAAGACAAATATCATATGATTTCACCTGTATGTGGATTCTTTTTTTTTTTTAAAGATTTTATTTATTTATTTGAGAGAGAGAGAATGAGAGACAGAGAGCATGAGAGGGAAGAGGGTCAGAGGGAAAAGCAGGCTCCCATGGAGCAGGGAGCCCGATGCGGGACTCGATCCTGGGACTCCAGGATCATGACCTGAGCTGAAGGCAGTTGCTCAACCAACTGAGCCACCCAGGTGCCCCTGTATGTGGATTCTAAAAAACAAAACAAATTCATAAACAAACAAAAAACAAACAGTCTCTTAAACACAGAGAACAAACTGGTGGTTGCCAGAGGAAAGCGGGTAAGGGATGGAATAGGCAAAATAGGTGAAGGGAATTAAGAGTAACAAACCACCACTTATAAAATAAATGTCACAAGCCTGCCTGGGTAGCTCAGTGGGTTAAGAGCCGGACTCTTGGGTTTTGGCTCAGGTCATAGGTTGTGAGATCGAGCCCTGAACCCCACAATGGGCTCTACACTCAGCAGGGAGTCTGCTTAAAGATTCTCTCCCTCTGCCCCTCTCCCCACTTTTGCTGTCTCAAATAAATAAATCCTAAAAAAAAATAAAATAAAATAAATGTAGCAGAGGTGAAAGGTATAACACAGAAAATATAGTCAATAATATTATAATGTTGTATGGTGACATGGTAATTGCACGTATGATGAACGTTGCATAATGCATTATGTAGAGAATTCTCCAATCACTAAGTGGTATACATGAAACTAGTAACATTGTATGTCAACTATTTCAAACCAAGCAAAACGTAAAAAAAAATTTTAATGAAAAAAGAAATCAAAGATGAAACAAATAAATAGAAAGATATATATATATATATGTACTATGATCATAGATTGGAAGAATGAATATTGTTAAAATGTCTATAATACACAAAGCAACCCACAGGTTTAATGGCATCCATATGAAAATACCTATACTGGGGTTTTTTTGTTGTTTTTCTGTTAAACTTTATTTTAATTCCAGTATAGTTAACATACAGTGTTATATTAGTTTCAGGGATACAATATAGTAACTCAACAATTCCATACATCACCCAGTGCTCATCAAGACAAATGCACCCCTTAACCCCCATCACCCATTTCACCCATCCCTCCACCCACCTACCCTCTGGTAACCATCAGTTTGTTCTTTATACTTAAGAGTCTGTTTCTTGGTTTGTCTCTCTATCTTTTTTTTTCCTTTGCTCATTTGTTTTGCTTCTTAAATTCCACATATGAGTGTATAGCATTATACTCCCTAGCTCCATCCATGTCATTGTAAATGGATTCACAGAATTAGAACAAATAAACCTAAAAATTCCTTGGAACCACAAAAGAACCAGAATAGTCAAAGCAACCTTAAGAACAAATCTGGAGGTATCACACTACCAGATTTCAAACTATACTACAAATAGTAATCAAAGCAGAATGGTACTACAGGCAAAAACACAGGTACATGGATCAATAGAACGTAACAGCCCAGAGGCGCCTGGGTGCCTCAGTCAGTTAAGCGGCTGCCTTTGGCTCAGGTCGTGATCCCAGAGTCCTGGGATCGAGCCCCACGACGGACTGCCTGCCCAGTGGGGAGTCTGCTTCTCCCTCTCCCTCTGCCCCTTTCCCCTGCTCATGCTCTCTCGCATGCGCATGTGTGCGCTCCTGCTCTCTCAAGTAAATAAATAAAATCTTAAAAAAAAAAAGCCCAGAAATAAAACCAAGCTTAGATGATCAATTAATCTATAACAAAGGGGACAAGAATATACAATGGGGAAAAAAACAGTCTCATCAATAAATGGTGCTGGGAAAATGAACAGCTACATGCAAAAGAATGAAACTGGACCACTTACTTGCACAATACACGGAAATAAACTGAAAATAAACAAAAGACCAAAATGTAAGAGGCGCCTGGGTGCTTCAAACGGTTAAGCATCTGACTCTTGATCTGAGCTCAGGTCTTGATCTCAGTGTCATGAGTTCAAGCCCCGTGTTCGGCTCTAGGCTGGCCATGGAGCCTACTTAAAAAATAATGATAATAATAAAATAAAATAACAAAATAAAGACCAAAATGTAGATCTGAAACCATAAAGCTCCTAAAAGAAAAAAAAAGATAGAAAATTTACAGACATCAGCCATAACAATATTTTTTTGGATATGTCTCCTCAGGCACGGGAAATAAAAGCAAAAATAATTAAATGGGACTACATCAAACTAAAAAGCTTTTGCACAGCAATGGAAATGATCATTTCCATTCCATTCCAAAAAAACAAAAAGGCAACCTCCAGAATGGAGAAAAAAATTGTAAATTGTAAATCATATATCTGATAAGATATATGATAAGATATCTGATAAGAGGTTAATATTCAAAATTTATAATCAACGCATACAACTCAACACCAAAACAAAAATCAAATCAAAACAGGGTAGAGTACCAAAATAGACATTTTTCTTTAAAAAAAATTACATATGGCCACTGAACACATAAAAGATGCTACACATCACTAAATACCAGGGAAACGCAAATCAAAACCCCGGTATCATGTAACACCAGTCAGAATGCCCAGGGTTGAAAAGAGAAAAAATAAGTATTGCACAGGATGTGTAGAAAAGGGAACCCTTCTGAATGTTGGTGGGAAGGTAAAATGATGCAGCCGCTATGAGAAACAAGTGTGGACATCCCTCAAAAAATTACAATACAGGTATCATACAATACAGTATTTCTACTTCTGGGTATTTACCCAAACAAAAACACTAATATGAAAAAACATATTCACCCTAATGTTTATTCCAGCATTATATACAATAGCAAAGATACGGAATCAATTTATGCGTCCATCCATGATTGACTGGATAAAAAAGATGTGGTCTATATGCACAATGGAATATTTCCTCAGCCATACTGAAGACTGAAACCTTAGAATTGGTGGTAATGTGGATGGACCCAGACGGTATTATGCTACAAGAAATGTCAGAAAAACACAAATATCATATTATTTCGCTAATAAGTGGAATCTAAAAATCAAATCAACAAAACAGAAACAGATAAAAAGATGTAGAGAACAAACAAGGTTGCCCGAAAGGAGGAGGTGGGGGATGGGCAAAATAGCTGAAGGCAATTAAGAGGTGCGAAATTGCAGTCAAAATAAATACGTCTCCGCAATGAAAAGCATAGCATAGGGAATATAATCAATGATATAATAATAACTTTCTATGGTGACAGATGGTTAACTACAGTTCCATGGTGAGCAATTCCAAATATATATAATTGTCGAATCACTACGCCGTACACTGGAAATCACGATAATATTTTAGGTAAAGTACATTTCTATTAATTTTTTTTACGTAAAAACAAAAAAATATACACACGAAAATTAAAATAATAACTTAAACAAAACAATGAAAATAAGACAATATAAAATACACTGTAAAGTAAAAGATACAATAAAAAATGAATAAGGGAAAAATAAAATATAAAACGAAGGAAAATAAACAAAAACCAAAATAAACAGTGAAATGAAATATAAATAAAATGATAAAATAAAAAAAACCCAGTTTCCCTCTAGCGTCTGACACCTAAATTTCACAAATAAGAGAAATAGCACGATATCACTAAAGATACATACCACAAGTGGTTTCAAAAATTGCTATTTACAAGCAAACGTCCCGGAATCAGACGCGAAGATGGTGCCCGGACAGCTCCTGGAGAACACACCTTGAGAGGGAGATGCGGGATGGGGTCGAGGGCCCACAGCTAAGGGCTGAGGCCACCCAGGTCTCTGCGGGGAGGAAGGAGGTGAGTCACAGCGGCGGCGACGCAGAAAGCCGGCAGCTTCGCCGGGCTGGGGGAGCTTCGAAGAAACGCTATGCTTCCCCCATCCCGAGGCGGCACCCCGGAACCACTGCTAGCACACGAGGGGGCCACCCGATCTCGGATCCGGGAGATCGCCGACGCCTGGGCTCACAGAACCCGCTGCGGCGCCACAACCCAAACCTGGGGGACCGGGGGAGACATTTTGGGTGCACCGGCAAAACTCGTCCCCAGGGCTGGGGTCGTCCTGGCAACACGAAGGGCGGTGTGTGCCAGTGTAAATAACCCGATCGGGCAACAGGTACACAGCCTCGGTTCCGCAGGAGCCCCTCTCTCTCCGCGAGTCCCGGTGGACAAAAACCCCTGTCCTTTCTCAGCCGCCGACTTGGAACGACTGCACGCAAGGACCGCGGGCCACCGCCACGGTCTCGCCGAAAGGCGCCGGGCAGCTGGGAGCCGGCGACCGAGCGATGCTGGGCCCTCGGCCTCTGGGGCGTGGGGGAAAGGGAGGACCGAGAGCCCAGCGCCGGCCTTGAAGGGGGTCCCCTCTCGTGGTACCTTGGCGGAGGCAGGACGCAGGACGCAGGACCCTCCGGCCGGAATGCCGTCGCCGCGTCTCCTCCACCCAAAGGGCCGGCACCGGACACAACTTGCGGAGCACCAGCCGCTGCACGGCCGGCTGCCGCTTCTCCGGGAGCCCCGTGAGTAGCCCCTCAGAAGTGTCCCCTCCAGTCCCCCCGGGTGGGCCTCAGCGCCTCCCCGCGGCTGCGGCTCAGCCCCGCCTGGAAGCACAGCGTTCTCTCCCTGGAGGCGGACGCCACCCCGTCTTGCACGGCGGCGCGGTCCCGCTGGGGCACGGGGTGGGGGCAGGGGGGAGTGCGGGGGAAGATGGGGTGCTGGAGGGCACGGTGGGTCTTTGGAAGCCGGCCGCGGGCACTTGGGGAACTTCAGACAGGGCCGTGGCCTCCTGATGGCGGCTCGGGGACGCGGCTGCCTGAAAGCAGCAGGCCTCCTTGCCTTTCTGCAGGAACGGCGCCGTCCATCACATGCACTGACCCCATACCACGCGCAAAACAAACACGCCGAGCGTGAATTGATAACTTTATTGAAAAGACAACAAGTGCCCAAAAATGAGGGTCCGTGAATTTGCACTTCTCCTGCATACATTTAGCGGGCATTTAGTGAACTGCTCTTGGCGGCGAGCTACACAGAATGGGGCTGGGCTCGAAAGCACCGTGGGAAAAAACCGTCACGGAGGCCATTCTGTGGGAAAAGGGCTTACCAGCGAACCACGGACGGTAGGAACCCGGGAGCGCCCGCAGGAGGGCAGCCGAAGGGAGGGAAAGGTGGAGGCAGCCAGGGCAGAGGAGGCAAGAAGGCAACAGGAAAGAGCGGCATGGGCCGCGGAGGTGGTCCCAGCAGCAGTGGCTGGGGGAGAACGCACAGGCAATCCGGCCGCTCCTGATTGAGGACGGCACGGTAGGGTCCACCCAAGTTAAAGATGATGGGGGGGACCATGGCCACGGGGGGCACGTTTCTGAACCTCAGTGCCCTCTGATGTCTCCTCCACTTGGCCCTCCTGTTCTTAAACCAAACCTTCAATCAGAGAGAAAAAGAGATCGTTTTAGTACGTTGAGCACTGGATGTCATACAGGAGAAAACAAGCAGGCTACTTACTCTCTATGCCCTTAAGGTTTGAAACGGCATCAGGGGAGCTATGTCCTTCTTGCTAAAATCGCTTAGGGAAGTCAGGGCCACGGGCCCCCCTGCAGCTCACCCCGAGAGGGCACCCACGCTGCGCCAGGCTGTGCCAGGCTCTGGCTCTGCTCTCTGCTTTGCCTCTGTCCTCCCACCTTGCCTATTACTTTTCCCCGTTCTCAGCAGCAGGTGTAGGTGAGGAACGGCGCTCTGTCCCTGCCGTGACTGTTACACCTGGGATGTCTGTGTCCTCACAGCTGACCAGCAGCTGTCCAGCTGCCACTGGCCCCTAGTCACTAGGCAGGTGTCACCCTGCTTATGGGGGAAGCTCAGCATCGTCCAAGAGTCCTGCTGAGGGGAACAAACCCCATTTTGAAAAGCCCGTCTTGAACAAAGAGTAAGTACGTCATCCATAGGAACGTGCCGGATCTTTCAACAACAGCAGCGTTCCTTTCAGGATGACTGAAGGGTCGCTCATCTTCTGAAACCGCTTCAGAGTGGAAAAGATGCTATTGTGAGCGAGGCTTGGGCATGGAGGGCCCAGGAGCCTGTGGCTGGTCCTGCTGGGACAGGAGGAAGCTGAAGCGCTGGACACTACCTGAATGTTACAGACATCGGGGACAATGCGTGTTTACACGAACTAGGACCAGACTTGCTAAGTTCGTAAAATCTCGTCCAGCCAACAGATCGGGGGCAAAGAGGCTCACCGCCGTCACTGTGGTGGATTCTGCAGCCCCCAGCCTGCACCACCCTCCAGGCTTTCCTGGGCTCAGCCCCCGGCCAGCTCCCTCCTCTCTGGCTACGGTTCCAGCACCCTGGACAGGACCCCTGCTGCCCAGCGGGGCAGGGCCGCCCCCCCTCCCCAGGCCCCTCTACTCAACCAGGAGAGCCCCATCCCATCCCTTATCCTCTTTTCTGTTGTTCACTGAACTACAGTTGACATACAATACTGCATTCGCCTCAGGTGTACGACATAGTGATTCGACAGTTCTCTACAAAATGCTCGCCGCGGTAAGGGCAGTCACCATACAAAAGGATTACGATATTACTGACTATATTCCTTACGCTGTCCTTTGCATCTCCGCACCGGATTTATTTTTCAACTGAAGTTGGTACCTCCTAATCCCCTTCACTTATTTTTCCCCTGCCCCCACCCCCTCCCCTCTGGCAACCTCCATCCTGTCCTCTGTAAATGAGTCTGTATCGGCTCCGTTTGTTGATTAGTTTTGTTTTTAAGAGTCCACCTATAAGTGCAATCATACAGTATTCTTAAGGCAAGAAGGTGAAACTGACATTGTAGGAAGACAGTCAACCACCATGTGGGTGAGGAGTCACAAAATGGCTCCTCCCTAGTATCTGCCAACTCTGAACCCTACAAATAAAACCTGTCCTTTGGACTCCACTGTCCTCTCCGCATCCTAGTTAATGGAATTTCTTTGTATTTAATATCTGTAGACATTCCCGGTTCGCAAATGTCACTTGACACAAAGGGGGCCTCTACTCTCCCTGTGGCCTCATTTTCCCTCTGCCGTCCTAGTATTTGGTCTTTCTGCTGCATGAATATGCTGTCTAAAAACACCAGCGCCGTGGACCTCATCTTGGGGGGATCCAAGTTTCCCAGAGGCCAAATCTACACAAATGCCAAGTAGCCTAGCTGAGGTACACACTGATCCTCCCTCCGTATTTCTAATACTGGATTCATATAACAGCTCTTACTGCACTTGGGGGCACATCCATTAAACTCTTCCTCACACAAACACTTTATGATCTCAGTTATATGGGGAATCTAAAAAACCCAGCAAACTCAAGGAAAAAGAGATCAGATCTGTGACCACTTTTAGAGGGCTTGGGTGGAGGAACTGCCTGAAGGTGGTCAAAAGGTAAAAACTTCCAGTTCTAAGATAAATAAGTACCAGGACTCTAATGTAGCATAAGGACTATACTTAACACTACCTTATGGTATCTATGCCAGTTAAGAGATTCAATTTTAAGACTTCTATTCACAAAGAACAAACTGTTTATTTTTCTTTTTGTCTTTTTCCTTTCTTCTCTGTCTCTCTAGGACATGATGGATGGTAACTAGACTTGCTGTGGTAAACACCTCACAATAGATGTAAGTCAGATCATTATGCTGTATACCTTAAATTGATACAGGACTCTATGCAACTTATGTCTTCATAAAACTGGGAAAAACTTCTTTGAAAATTGAAAGTGCCGGGGCGCCTGGGTGGCTCAGTGGGTTAAGCGTCTGCCTTCGGCTCAGGTCATGATCCCAGGGTCCTGGGATCGAGCCCCGCATCGGGCTCCCTGCTCGGCAGGGAGTCTGCTTCTCCCTCTCCCTCTCCCTCTCCCTCTCTGTCTCTTATGAATAAATAAATAAAATCCTTAAAAAAAAAAAAAAGAAAAGAAAAAGTCTTTCCAATTAGCACACGTCAGAATCCAGCCTGGACTAAGAGCCAGTGCCCACTAGTGACAAATTCCACGCAATCTCTTCCTAAAAGGACCACAAGAGGAAGATCAAAATCTCAGGTGTCAGACATTCCTCACAGGAATATTCACTAATGCGTTTGGTCGGTTCAGAGATTGGAATGTGAGTCATATCCCCAAGGCATCTTTCTGGCCTTAGGCTTCCACCTGTGCTGGGGTGGCGGCCACCTGGTTGGATCGGCCTCCACCTGGTTGGGTCGGCCTCCACCTTTGTTAGCTTGGTGGAACCTTGTTTGAAATTGTTGCTTTCGTTTCTTTTCTCTTGTAGACAGATTTCAAAGGTGGCACCTACCCCCCTCCCGTCTCCACCGTAATGCACGGGTCTACTGTTTAACAAGGTTATCAGGCCGACTATGAAGGAGTTCCAGAAAATGAAGATGTAGGCCTGGCACTCTCCACACCTGTTTACCAAGTACTTAAAAGCCACAGCTCTAAAAGTAAATTAATGAAATTTAACATCTTTTAAATAAAATAAAATATTTTTTTAAATTAAAAAGTAAAATTGCCTTCGTCTGAATCCTAGAGCAAGAAATCGTGTATATTAGGGCGCCTGAGTGGCTCGGTTGGTTAAGCGTCTGCCTTGACTCCAGTCAAGATCCTAGAGTCCCAGGATCCAGCCCCATGTCAGGCTCCCTGCTCAGTGGGGAGTCTGCTTCTCTCTCTGCCGCTCCCCCCGACTGTGTTTGCTCTCTCGCGCGCTCACTCTCTCTCAAATAAATAAAATCCTAAAAAAAGAGAGAAATCATATATATTGGAAAAACAAAAAACAAAAAAAAAACAACAACCCAGCAAGAGGCCTAGGCACCTGCACTACAAGCAGTAAGAGTAAAAATAAATTTCTGAACTTTTAAAATAAATTAAAAGTAATTCCATAATGACAAAATACAATTGTTTCCGTCTGAATCCTAGAGTGAAAAAAATCATATGTTACGAGGAAATACCAAGAGCAGGAGGCCCAGGCTGTTGTACTTGAAGGTCTACCCTCCCTGTAAGTCTCAGCTTCACTGGACATAAGGCAGTTGCTTATCTGCTGTGTCATGTGTGTGAAATCTTCCCTCAAGCCTATGCCAAAATATTTGTAAATTCACTCCTTAGGCCAAGAGCTTATGCTCGTTTTCAGTAAATCGGTGTAATTCAACTCCTTGGTGAGTTGAGCGATTTGAACGATTTCCACTTCAGACTCCATCCAAATGTGACCCGACAGTGAAGTGGTGCCTGCATGATAACCCTTTCAGGAGCTGAGCTGTCTGTTGAGTATGTGTGCTTGCGGGTATTCCTTTCTTTATGTTTATATAAAATATTTATGTTTCTGTATATATTGTTCTAAGATGGGTTATATATAAATGTACCATATATAATATAAACTTGTGTATATACAAGTCACGTATGAGTGCTTATACAGGAATACATAGGAATTACATAATTATACCCTTATAGTATAATACTTAAATAATACCTGATGATTCTATTGTAGAGAAACATTACTACCATATAATGATATTGCTATATCAATAGATTAACGTGCTACTCAATAACTAATATCAATTAATAATAAATAAATATTAATCCATAACTGATACAGCAAAGAACAATCTATTGGCTATAGTATATGGTAATTGTATATTACATAGGACTATATTAATAACATCGTAGATAATAACTGATTAATTATATGTGCATTATAGAAATATATTTTATATTAGCAATAACAATGATGTCACATTGATATATATGGTATTTATCTGTTATGGAAGATGCTTAAAAAAGAATATACTTTTGATATACTGTGTATTTATTACGTATACATTTAACATATCAAATATATATATTCTATACTAGATGAATATGTAAGCATATATTCTATGAATTAAATGTGATTTACATGTTATATAATTTATATTCATATTTACTACATGGCATGTACTTCTTTTTTTTTTAAAGATTTTATCTATTTATTTGAGAGAGAGAGAATGAGAGATAGAGAGCACGAGAGGGAAGAGGGTCAGAGGGAGGAGCAGACTCCCCGCTGAGCAGGGAGCCCGATGCGGGGCTCGATCCGAGCCCCCGGGACTCCAGGATCATGACCTGAGCCGAAGGCAGTCGCTTAACCAACTGAGCCACCCAGGCGCCCCACTACATTCCATGTACTTCTAGATCACATACTGACTTATATAATAAATACACACATATGTTAGTATATACTCCATATAAAAATAGTACGTATACTATATATATGATCCATAATTATGATGTTATATGTAAATACATGTATCCGTTAGTATATAGGTATATATTACATATAAAAATAATACGAATACTATCTATATGATCTATAGCTATGATTATATTTCTATTTGTGCTATATTTAAAAATCCGTATAAATATGTGTATTCTATGTCTAATTCAGTGACATCTAAAAGTATATATAGGTACAGTTTATACAGACATGTGTGTATATTTTATAGAAGGGATACGATACGATACTAATTTTTTCATTCCTTTAGGAAATCATGTTCCCTCTGGAAATGGGCAATTTCCCAAACCTGGGCTTTATTTATCCCGTTGTCCCCCCACCAAGACCCAAAAGTTCAACACTTACTTCTCAAAGCTAGCAAAGGCCACAAAAACCCAGGACGGTGAGAAGGTCAAGGACAAAGGTGTCCAAGTCCTGAAGCCGGTTTTAGAACGGCTCCCAGCCAAATGGTTTCTTTCGGGTTTACTGACCTGCACTCTGGCTTCAGGCACATCGATTAATCTTGCAAGCTCCTGGCTGAGGGGAGAAAAATCAATATTTGGAGTTGGGGGTGAATTAAAATAGAGCATTTTTCCTTCCTCTTTTTAACATTTTTTTCAGGGAGATGTCAGTGACATTTTAGGAACCAGTCTGTACACTTAGGGAAAGTCACACCATTTCAGGATTGACAGTGAGATGCAGTGGACCAAGACCTGAAGGAAAGCCAAGTCTCTTGGGTAAAGGAGGCACAGTCCCCGAGAACACACGACATTCTAATTCAGTTTCCTTTAGTGTTACCAACTTCAAAATGAAGAAATATCTCTGAGGATCTAGCCCTACCGACTTTCGATCATTGCTCTTAACCCCATTTTATGGATTAAATTAGAGCCCTCCAATAAGGTGCTGTCCATCCATCTCTCTCACCCTCTCTCTCTGACTCTCCCCCCAGCTCTCTCTCTTTCTCTCCCTCTCCTTCTCTCTCTCTCTCTCTCTCTCCCTCAGTGATGACCAAGTTAGAGTACATTCCCATAGGTGCTAAGGGATGGCACGAACTGCTGTTCATTCTTTGGTTGTGCTTGTTTTAAAGTTTTGGTATCACTGACTTCCTCCTCCCCTACCTCCGCCCACAGCCGCAGACGCCTCGCCCCCAACACTGTCCTGTACCATCTAGCTCGAGCTTTCCTTCTGCAGGGCAGCTTTCCCTCAAGCAAGATTTAATTGTACTCTGTTTTCAGATTTTATTTTTAAATAATCTCTACAACCGGCGTGGGGCTCGAACTTAAGACCCCAAAATCAAGAGTCACAGGCTCTACCGACTGAGTCAGCCAGGCGCCCCTTTTCTTTTCTTTTCTTCCTCTTCTTTTTTTTTTTTTAACTTTTCATTGTTTCAAGACCTCTAGCAAAATCGAAGGGAATGCAGAATATTCACTAATCCAGATAGTTTTCAAGTGCACTACTTAAAAATGTAAAAATGGGTGCAGGGGCCCCACGGCGGTGTAGAGATTACTGAAAATGAATCATTTTAAAAAACCGAGTGCAGAAATAATTCACGACGAGTAGACTTACCACGATTTTAAACAAAGGTAGGATCCTAAACCGCTTGCTCCCGCGTCTCAGACTTGTCGCCCTCGTCCCCGCCCACCCTGCTGCCAGTAGGACATTTTTCCGTGAAGGGCGGCGGACGCTTTCCCGGCTGGACGCGATCAAACCCGCCCGAGCGAGCGTCCGCCTTCGCCGCCCCACCCGCAGAGCGAGCGCTCAGCTCCCGCAGAAGCGCCAGTGCCCGGCGGGCCCGGCAGCCTCGACGCCGCTGGGTGTTCGTCAGCCGCGAGGATAGAGACGCTGCGAACCCGTCCGGCCCGCCGCCCGCGAGGCCGGGAGCCCGCGCCCGGCGCCGCAGCCCGTCCAGCCCGCCGCCCGCCGCCCGCGAGGCCGGGAGCCCGCGCCCGGCGCCGCAGCCCG